ATTTAATATTGTGAAATATTATTATGATGTATTATATATATATATATTACGATTTTAATATATATTAAACTGTAATGTATTCCTGTGATGCGCAGCTGTATTTTCAGCATCATTACTCCAGTCTTCAGTGTCACATGATCTTCAGAAATCAGTATAATATTCTGATTTATTATCAGTTGTGCTGCTTAATATTTTTATGGAACCTGTGATACTTTTTTCAGGATTCTTTGATGAATAAAAAGTTAAAAAGAAGAGCATTTATTTAAAATAGAAATCTTTTCTAACAATATACACTACCGCGTTTGGGGTCAGTACATTTTTATTCGTTCTTTTTTTTTTAAAGAAATTAAAACTTTTATTCAGCGAGGACGTGTTAAATTGTTAAGAAGTGATAGCGAAGATTTATATTGTTAGAAAAGATTTATATTTTGAATAAATGCTGTTCTTTTTAACTCTTTATTCATCAGAGAATCCTGAAAAAGTATTGCATTTTCCCCAAAAAAATATTTGTGCAGCACAACTGTTGATAACTCTAATAATAAATCAGTATATTATACTGATTTCTGAAGATCATGTGACACTTTATACTGGAGTAATGATGCTGAAAATACAGCTGCGCATCTCAGAAATAAATTATATTTTAAAGGATATTAAAATAGAAACCATTCTTTTATATTGTAATAACATTATGCAAGATTACTGTTTTTTTCTGTATTTTTGATCAAATAAGTGCAGCCTTGATGAGCAGAAGAGACTTCTTTAAAAACATTAAGTCTTACTGATCCCAAACTTTTGAACGGCAGTGTGTATGGGCTTTATATCGTCTATCAGTCATCAGTCCACCGCGTGTCAGAGCTGCTTTATATGTTTCGCTCATGGTTAAATAAGTGCAAATGTTTCCCAAAGCTGTACATTCCTCTCTTTCTCAGGACGAGGAGTTACAGCATGCCAAGGAGGAGCAGGAGCGGAAGGAGGAGGAGGAGTACCTGCGGCTGAAGGAGTCTTTTGTGATCGAGGATCAGGGAGAAGCAGAGGAGCTCAGCGAGCAAGAGGTGCGTCTCTCTTCCTGCGCGCTCACCACGTCTGCTTTACTTCCACTGCATTACTAGTTATCTCATGTTTGTGTTTTTCAGTCTCGCAACCTGCTGCAGGAGTTCATCCAGTATGTCGAGGTAACACATGCATTCAGATTTAAAGCTGCGGCGTTCATATTTGTGAGCGCAAGCAACAATGTCAGCTTGAGCAGAACTAGTTTTATATCACGTATATAGTAAATATTGGTTTAATGCCTTTTCTTGATAATGCAGGAAGTTAAATACTTTATGAATGGAAGATATTTGAATTTATTTTTTATATTTTAAGATACTTTTTATTTGCGACTGAATGCACTTCTTTAAATCAATGAATC